TCCTTGTTTGATGTCAAATAACTGTTTTTGCCAAATTGCTTTTTGCTTAGCAGTGCTAAAACGAGCTTTAAACAAATACTTGAAACTTCGGGCTTGGCCAGCATCATTATTGTAAGCGTTAGGCTAGGGATTTAGACTGCGATATCAGTCTAGAGCAATACCTTTCATGTATACTGGTGCAGGTTCTAATCGATGAGCATTATTCCAACGATTTGCTTTACAAGCTCTTTGAAATTCTTGAAGCCAGGTGAGTAGATCCTGGGTTTCATCACCAAGGAAGGGCTCTACTTTGATTAATGTTTGTTCAGGAGCAGTTCCTAAAGCAGTAGCCAGAGCAGTTATAGCAGTAACAGCATCTTGTAATGCTTGATTACCCATATTGGCAGGAGGATTAGGAGGATTGAGAGATGGTGGTAGAGGTAAGAGTACAACAAGAGGTTGATATATAGGAGGTGGAGATGGTGGTGCAGTGTAGACAAGGTCAGTTAGATCAATATTTAATTTGTGGTCTGAGTCTGGTTCTTCATCATTAGAATTCCTAGGTTCAAGAATATTTTCTTGATCAAGATGAATAATCCAAGAGGGAGTATCATTAGTTTCTAGTGGGGTTTGGTGTTGACTTCTTCACTATATGGGAGAAGGTTATCTTCTGGTTCGTAGAAGTTATGAGTGTCTTCTGGTAAGACAGTTATGCGAACACTGTTGTCTGTAGAGATGGCTTGCAAGATAGGACTTTTTAAATTTCTAAAGAATTGACTAAAGTTTCCTGGTTCTTCAAAACTAAAGGTTTGAGGTTCGTCAAGGTAATAGTCGAAGGTGTTTTGGTATTGGAACGGTAAGGTAGGGAGTTGAAGAAGAGAAGTATGTCATTAAAGAAGTGTGAGTGCTATGTCTCGAGGGTTGGAAAGTGCAGTTGTATAGCGACAACTAAAAATAATATTCTGGATGGCTATACGAGTATCAGTATGATTGGTAGTACTGGTAAGTATAGCAAAAGCATTTTGGGTCCTTCGAGAATAAAGTAAAGCAGAGAAGAGAAGATTGTAAAAGGTCCAAAACCTTCCAAAAGGTGTACGAGGACTTGTTCGATGAGGGTAATAGCAATCAGTGCAAGAAAGATCTGAGTAGCCTAATTGTAGTATGTCTAAAGCTAAATGTCCTAAGTCTAAATGTGCTCGTTGATGATTATGAATATATTCCCGATATAACTCGTCAGCAGTTTGTAACATATACTAAGAAGGGAGTTGCTAGTATAGCAATTGTCTAAGGTCTACTAAGAAGAGGAAAACGGCTTGCATGCTAGAGACAGATATCCAGAGATTTTAACAAAAATATGGCTCACATGCTGGAGACAGATGTCCAGAAAATTCAAAAATACGGCTTGCGTGCTGGAGACAGATGTCTAGAAAATTCAAAATATAGCTCATGTGCTAGAGACAGATGTGCAGAAATTCAAAAAAAATACAGCTCGAGTGCTGAAGACAGATGTCCAGTGATTACTCAAGAAGAGAGGTAAAGGAGAGGTGCAGAGGGATTTAATTATATTTCCACCAGAAGGCACCAAATGTTACAGTACTGTGGCCTTCTTAACAGCAGTACTATAACAACGACATGGCTACAGGGATCCTTTATAGGTTTATAG